AAACGAGAACTTTTGCAATTACAAACTAGCAAGAGCTAGGGCTCGTAGAACAATTAGACAAGCCAAAAGATACTCCTGGCGAAGCTTTGTCTCTACCATTAACATCATCATCATCATCATCATGGGGGCTGATGCCGACGGGGGCGCATAGCCGCATCCACCCTTCGCTTCCACCTACGAGGATCCCTCATGGCTAGGCGCCAGGCAGGGACTCGGCCCATCTGTAGTTCTTCACGGCAGGTTTGGTCGATCTGCCCAAGCCATGACTTCCTTGGTCGTCCCAAAGGCCTCCTCCACCCAGGGTTGTCTCGAATAGAGACGACCTGATGGGCAGGATCATCCTGAGGAAAGCGAGCCAGGTGGCCATATAGCCTGAGTTGGCGATCACGGATTGTGCAGATAACAGGGCTTGTGCCAGTCTCACGGTGCAACCGTTGGTTGGACACATGGTCCCGCCAACAGTACCCCATGATCTGGCGCAAGGACCTATTGCAAAAGGCTTCAAGACGAGCCTCTAAGGCACAGGACAATGTCCAGGTTTCGCTACCGTATAGCAAAACTGGCATTATCAGGGCCTTGAAAACCCGAAGCTTGGTCCTTCTGCACAGGTACCGACATCTCCAAATACACTTGTTGAGAGAGTTCATGACCCCTGCTGCCAGGCCATTAACAGCAACACAAAAATATAGGTTTGTTCCACTGTTAATCAAATCAATAGGAAAAAACATCTTTCAAAATAAGAAACATTCATGAGGGTAATAATTTAGATTCACCTAGAGAGATTGCTATTGCACTCGCCAGGCAGTTCTCTTATACAAGCAGCTCAGAAAATTACCATCCAGCATTCCTGACCATCAAGGAAGCGGCTGAGCTGCAACCCATACACTTTGCAACAGGAGATAAACTTGATTACAATAAAGATCTTACAATGAATGAGCTTGTCCGAGCTTGTCCGAGCCCTAAAAGCCTGCAGAGGAACGTCCCCAGGCCCCGATGAGATTCGGTATGAGATGATAAAGCATCTTAATCATGAAGCCATGATTAAGTTGCTAGAAGTGTACAATGAAATTTAGAAAAGCCAGACTTTTCCAAACTCATGGCACTTCGCCCATATCATTCCCATATTGAAAGGAGGGGGTAATCCCAAACATGCCATCTCCTACCGCCCAATTGTGTTGACAAGTTGCTTATGCAAGGTCATGGAACGAATTGTTAACAGTAGGCTATTGCATTTTTTAAATTCCAGGAATTTACTAGTTGACGAGCAGTGCGGTTTCCGAAAAGGACGCCAAACTCTCGATCAGCTAGTAAAACTGGCCAGTCATATTCAAGAGGCAATTGCCAAAAAACATTTTTTGATCTCAATATTATTAGACATTGAAAAACCCTATGACATGACATGGTGATATGGCCTACTCAGAAAACTTTCTGCTTTCGGCTTACGTGGAAACGCCTTGTTTCATTCAAAATTCCATTTCTGATAGAACTTTTGCTGTCAAATTGTTTTCTGACAATGTCACTTACTCGGACATTTTGTCCAGGCAAACGGGGTCCCACAAGGAAGTGTCTTGTCACCTACTTTATTTTTGTGTATGATAAATGACATCTTACTAGCTCCCCCTTGGAATCTTAAATACTCACTGTACGCTGATGATTGTGCATTATGGCATTCCAGCAGTAATGCAGAATTCTCAGCAAATCGCATCCAATTGGCACTGGATATGATTCATAACTGGGGCCTCCGGTGGGGTTTTAAGTTTTCCACAAGAGTATTGGGATAATTTTTTCACGAAGGAGAATGCCGAACATCAGGCTAACTCTAGACCACCACCCAATACCTATTCAAAATTCTGCTAGATTTCTCGGTCTACTTTTTGATCGTAGACTTAATTGGAAAGACCACATTGGTCAATTAAAGAATAAATGTCAAAAAGCAGTAAATTTATTAAAGTGCATTTCTGAAAATAAATGGGGAGCTGATAGAAAGTCTTTGCTAATGGTATATAAAACCCTGATTAGGTCTAAAGTAGATTATGGGTCAATCGTGTATGGTTCGGCATCGGCCTCAACTTTGAAAGGTTTGGATGCTGTGCAGAATGCATGTGTGCATAGTTGTCTTGGAGCCCTCAAATGTACAAGGATTGAGCGTCTTGAGTGGAGTACCTCCCCTCCAACTCAGACGCGGCCAGCTGGCGCTGACCTATGCCGCGAAGGTGGCTCGAGACCCGAGCCACCCTAATGGTAATGGTGCCATTAGGCCCTTTACTATAAGACTCCACGACCTCATCCTTAAAGTCGGTATAGATCTCTCTACCATCGATACCCTGGTTCAAACAAATATAGCGCCATGGGAAACACCCAATTTTACCATCATGGAAGCTTGGCTTCCATCAACCAAGGCCATGGCGCCGGAGGTGGAGGTACGCCAGAGGTTCAGAGAGCTCCTTATTAAACATCTTCCTTTTTTTCATATATATACCGACGACTCCAAGACCGAGCAAGTAGTGGGTGCAGGTGTATGGTCGAATGAATGTGAGTTGAGATTCAGACTGCCGAATCATACATCGATCTTTATTGCCGAACTTTTTGCAATTGATAAAGCTATTGATTTTGCACTATCGACGACCCACGATAGAATAGTCATTTTTTGTGATTCATTAAGTTCACATAAAGCCATTAAATCATTAGAAACCACTAAAAATGAACTGGGTAATATCATTCGTAAGCTACATAGTGCCAACAAATCAATCAAGCTGATATGGGTGCCAGGCCACTCTGGTATCCATGACAATGAACAGGCTGACCGACTAGCCTGGTCAACTGGCGATCTGGACCTTAGCATAGTCCGGACAGATCTCAGGTGTTTTGTGTCTCTTACAAAAGCAAAAATCCATCTCCTGTGGCAAAGTGAGTGGACCGACCTGCAACTGCCTAATAAAATCAGGCAAAATATTGAAGTGTGGGACACAGCCCACAGAAAAATAAAATGGAGGAGGTGGTATTGGCCCGCCTAAGGGTCAATGGCACAAGACTGACCCACCTCACTCCCTATATTGAACGAAATTTCCCTCCAATATGCCCACATTGCAATACCATTAATACCATAAAACACATTAACTACATGCCAAATATATAATCCACATCGACAGTACATCCAAAATTATTTCAGAATAAAAAATTTAGAATTACACTAATAAACACACTATCAGATGATAAAAAAATAATATGTAGAGTAATCGCTTTTCTAAGGGAGACAGAACTTTATGACCTTATTTAGATTGAAAGAATAAATAGGTTCCATTGGCTTAATAACCTTGGTCACATGCCGCAGGTTGATAGCCAAGAAATCCAACAAAAGTAAAAAAAAAAAAAAAAAAAAAAAAAGGAAGAGCAGCACCAATTGGCACTTTTGAAAAGGAGTGCCTCTTCGAAATTGTCAAAGATCACATACAGATAATAAATGACAAGTCATCAGGTATTGGCAAAGCTGCAAAAAAGCACAGTGTTGGCAAGACATTGCAAATATCTTTTTTTTTTTCTAAAACAGGCTGTAGGAAAACTCCCATCCAGGTCAGAAAGGTCAGGGAATCCCTTCGAAAATCGTAAGTTGTATTATGATTCTTAAATGCATACAGATTTTCCTTTTATGACCTATACTGAAATCAAAGATGCATTCATAGTTTAATATTTATTAATACTAGTGTTTCTATGCCCACAGAGCAAAAAACCATTATTCAAGCTATAAGCGGAAAATTAAGAAAACTGGGGGAGGTCCACCACCACAGTCTCTAGATAACATCACGCAAAAGCTCATTGAAGGCGAATTGGAGCCACTGGCGAATGTGTGTGATTCGGATGCTGGAATACATGATGAATCTAATGCCATTACCGGTACTGATATTTCTTTAGAGCAATTGTTTTATATATGAAACTTTCATTAAGCTGTGTAGAGGGGTATAGAAAGTGTATGTATTTTTACACAAATGTGCTTGTCTGATGTCTGCATTTTCTGATTCCATATTCATTCGCTGATAGCAATCCAGGGCCAACCCCGATTGCCACTCCACCTGTGGTTCAAGACATATCAAAAGATGGCGATACCATCGCTTTATCAGAGATGATTTTCACATCTGGTGAGGAAGCAGCAGCCCAAGGACCTAGTTGTGAGGAAGAAAGCGCTAGGCCTACGTGCTCCTCACAGACTACAGCACCGAAACGAAAGACAGACAAAGAAAGATGCAGATTACGACGCTGCTCTTCATGAAGCTGCAGTTCGATGCAGAAAGAAAATGGAATTGGATGAAATATTTCACAAAACACAAATGGAGTTTTTTAAGAGAATATCATGAGAAACAAATGGAATACCATGAGAAAGAAATGGAAGTGTTACAACTCCAAAAGTTATATTGGGTGGAAAAAAACAAGGAATAGGAATCTGCATTTAGTAAAAGTCGGTAAATAAAACATTTGTCATAAATCTTTTCTAGTTTTATTTTTGGTATGTTCACACCTAATATTAAGAGATTACACATATATTCCCATAACATT